AAGGAGGAGTACAAACGGCTGACATTTGAAGTGTCTGCGTAAAGAAAATTAAAACAGTATCAGTATGCATCAAAATTATCATAAGAATTATAAATTGACGGAATTATTTACTTCCAAAAAAAAAATTATGAACAAAAATTAATCACGATAAATTTTATAAATGTGTTTTTTTTATTATTGCTTGGACTTTCACGGCTTGTCTATTAATACCCATGAAATTTGCAGTAGTTGTCTGGGATCTCGAATCTATTGACAAAGTCAATCTTCGAGAAATTGTAGACAAGATGTAGCAAATGTATATTTTTGACTCACTTTTGACACCAAATCTCTGATAGAGATCGTAGCAAGTGCTGATCACGGCAAGCAATCCGATAATGGAGAATATGACACTGAAAAGATTTATAAAAGTGAAAAAAATGCAGAGAGAATCCAAAAAAGTTTGAAATGTTTATTGAGTACGAAGAATAATTCTTCACTCCACGTTGTCTTGGATTCGAACATTGGTTTTTAAACGAAATCGCTAAAAACCCTGATATGAGTAGTTCGTCGAATACTACAAAACATGGATGTAATTGAAACACGCGAAGAAGTCAAGGTCAGTCAATGTCATGGTCAGTAAATATGGTATATATATCCCATCGTATAAATGTTGTAGCTACCACCAAGAACAAAAAAATACTAGTTTTTTACACGCTTTACAAGTATATTAGCTTCACTTGTATGTTTGTTTGTAACCGACTCCTTTGGGCGTGATTTTGACTGACTTTAAACGGTCAGAATTCGTTTGAAACTTTGTAGATATATCGAGGACCGATGACAATACACTAATTTAAAAAATAAAACAAAAATAGAAAGTAAATTTTGATAAATTTGAAAAAAGCGTGGGGTACTTTTTACTATTGACTACATGCACCCTACGCTTTTTTTAAATTTATCAAAATTTACTTTCTATTTTTGTTTTATTTTTATATAAACAAATTGGAAACGAAATTGCAGTGAGCTCACCGGAAAATTTGAAAAACGGCATTTAAAATAATTTTAATATATAAAATACTTACAAAGCAGTGTAATCAGCAGCAACAAACGGTTTGTCATTAGGTAGTCGGCAGAAGTTTAGATCGTAATCTATGAAAGAGGGAATTGCAACATCAGCTGTATCATTAACAGTGCACACCTTGGGGATGCAAAGGGCTATTGACATCCTGGGGTCGAAAATGTTTATAATATTACTGAAAAATAGTAAGGCAATTTATATAATACATCTACGTACACACACCTCTGTATCGTTGAAAATGTAGGCAGAGCTATAAACCTAATATATACCTTACACATCACACACACGGCCGTCTGATTTCAAACTAGGCAGAGCCTGTGCTATGGTTACCAGACTGATTATAGATAAATTACACCCAGACACAGAACAAATGACCGTGTTCATAACACAATATTTGTCCTGGGTGGGAATCAAACGACCTCCGGCTTAGCAGTCACTCGAGAGGTGAGGTATATTATTATTATTATTATATTGAAAATTAAAGTTATTGCTTCCTTCTTGAAATGCCATCACTAGAGAACTCTGCATAAGATATTTTATTAACGATACTTTTATGATAATTCAAGGCTAATACTGTATTAGTAAAAGTACATTTTCAGCTTACTTTCTACCAACTGATTCCGCATGATCAGTTTTTTGCTGAACATAACTCTTTAGTAGTACATTGTCTTGAAAATCGATGTTATAGTTCCTGGACCCTGTAAATACCGGCCCAAAGTGGAAGGAATGGTAACGCCTCCATAGGGATTCTGATCATGCAATATTTTCCCTGATTTGTTGTTGGCCTACGTCTTGGTTTATAGCTAAACATTGAAAGTAGTCCCCAAGATCATTTAAGTTTCCTGCAGTCATACCACTAGGTATCTTACCACTGGTGTCAAAGACTAAAACAAAAATATTATAGTTAAGAGATAAATTAAAAACAGTCAAAGCAAACTATTTCTTGTGTAAAGCAAAATGTTTTCATCTATTTTTTATTTATCATCATCATCATCAACAGCCTTTAATAGTCCACTGCTGGACATAGGCCTCTCCTTAGAAAGGAGGTTTTGCCCTACAATTTTTTATTCAAACGAGTGAATTAATCGATGCCATCTCACACGCATAACATCACATCACATCAACAGCCTTCAAAAGTCAACTGCTAGACATAGGCCACTCCTTACAAAGAAGGTTTTGACCAACTATACCAAGCTTGCCAGAAGGGTTAGTATAGGGTTTGGGGTGCTGGCTAGAAAACCTCCTCGTGGTGCACCCTGGAAACGCTGGCGATGGTACTGTTTCCTCCTTGTCCTCTTGGAGGAGAGGATTATCGCCAGCGGCCAATATTCTAGCAGAAGAGGTAGCCGTTCATCGGCTCTCGGGCAAGGCCTGGTCCAGCAGGGTGGGCGTGTCTGCCGGTTGCCCTGCTGGCTCTTCGCTCTTCGGAGCATGGAGGAGGAAACCTCGGTAAAAAACCGGATGGTGGGGCCCTATAGGGGCCACAGTTTCTCCGCTGACAGCGGTGGAGAAAGGAGGACGGGCTCGGCGTGTACTCACACTACCACCGAGCAGGCAGGGGGACGTAGTCTCCCTGTCAACCGTCGGCATATCGTAATCCCGAGAAGAGCGCTGTGGTTAAGTCTCGCGGCTCTGATCGGGGGCGAGGGTCTTGGCTTAACCGCCCGGACCGCGAGGAAGATAACCTCTCTAAAAAATTCCCCGAATCCCGTGTTCTGGTGCGTGGCCAGGGGATGCATGGCTGATGGGAAGTTCAGTCGCGAGCGCTCTCCAAGCCGGGGTACCTGCGGACCCCTCGGTTGGGTTAAAAACTTACGCTTGCCCGGGTAATGGGGGATCTCTGCCCGGGTGGACCTTTAGTTCTCCCCCACTCGTGGGATTTATAATGGATAAAATTCAAAACTCAAACATTAAAAAAAACGATCGGAACCAACCAACAAACGAAAAAGGCAAGCCTAACGGACATGAAAGCAAAAGGAAGGAAGGACAAGCAGAACAGTGGAGTGGATGGGTCGTCCACTGAGGGCGAGATGGTGTCGGGAACGCCTATCTCGATGGGGCTCCCAGAGGTCAGTCTGACTCTGGTCACTGGGAGCCGAAGAGCATCGGATCGTATACGTTCCGGATCCGCCGTTTCGTCGGATGGCGCGGAGGCCATGGAGGCGGAACGAAGCGACAGCAGGAAACGCGGACGCTCCAGGGAGGAGGGGACCGACACGTCCGGCGAAATGATGCCACCAAAGGTGGCAAGCAGCCGCCGAGGGAGGGCGCGTAAACCGGCCTCGGCCTCGGTCTCGACCCCGTCAGGCTCCGCGTTCTCAAACGCGGAGTCCTACAGGAGCGTACGAGTGGACGGCGAGGCCGTAGCGGAGGAGGAGATCGCGGATCTCCTGCTCAAGGTTCGGGAGCCGGTGGGGGGAAATGCCCCCCAGGCTCCCGTGTCCGTGCAGGAGAGGGCGAAAGCGGCGGTGGCCGTCATCGACAAGGTGGCCACCAAATCCGTGAACCTTAAGGGCTCGTTTGTGAGGGCCCTTAAGGACTCCTCCTCCGCTTTGTCGGAGGTCGTGAGGGCCTAGTGGGCGACGTATCGTGACGACGACCTACAGGTGGCCAACGAGAAGCTGACGGAGCGGGTGAACGAGCTGAGTGCTCAGTTCGCCCCCTTCCAGGCGAACCTCCCCGAGCGGGAAGCCCCGTCCGCATCCCAGCCTGCCCCTACCACCAACTCAGGGGCATTTGACTCCCAACTGCGAGAAATCCTCATCGCAGTTGGGAATATGCTGGACGGACGCCTGGCTGGCCTGGAGGCGAGACTGCCCCCTGCGCCGATTATGCGCCCCCCCGCTCGCGTCGGCACAGCGGCCTAAGGCCGCCGCTCCGACCGCGCTCCCCGTTGTGGGAGGCCGCGTTTCTTACGCGGCGGCGGCGTCTGCCCCTACTCCATCGGCTCCACAAAAGCCGAGGAGGGGGGGCCAAGGCACCGGCCCAGGCGCCGGCCAAGGCACCGGCTAAGGCGCCGGCCAAGGCACATCCCCATTGTGGCATTCCCTCCGCTCCCCACTCCGACACCCCTGCCGGGCCCCTCCGCACCTGCCCCCTCCAACGAGGGTTGGCAGGAGGCGAGGGGCTCCAAGAAGTCCCGAAGGCGGGCCAGAAAGGCTGCCCAAAAAGCAGCCCAAGCCCAGCCTTCGCCACCGGTGGCAACGGCCTCTGCAAAGAGGCCGCGGAAGCTGCAGCCGCCCAAAACCGCGGCTGTAGTTGTGACCGTGTACCCGGAGGCGGCTGACGGCGGGCTGTTCTATGCGGCCGTCTTTAAAAAGGCCCGGGACAGCCTCGCCAACGAGTTTGGGAAGGGGGGGGGTCAGGATGCGCCTCGCCCAGACGGGAGCTCGAGTCCTCGAGTTCCCTGGGGCTGAAGGCGCAAAGACGGCGGACACGTTTGCCGAGAAGCTGCGGGGACTCTTTACAGCTACGGATGGTGTAAAGATCGCCAGGCCTACTAAGTGCGCAGAGCTGCCGCATCTCGGGCCTGGACGACTCCGTAACGGCCGAAGATATCCGCGCTGTAATCCGGGAGAAGACGGGGTGCAGCGCGGACAACGTCAGGGTCGGCACCAATCCGCCCCGGTCCAGGAGGGCTTGGCGCCGTGTGGGTCAGCTGTCCCGTAGCGCCGGCAGGCTGCTCGTCGGTTTCGTGAGCGCCAGGATCACAGTCCTGGCGGCGAGACCGATGAGGTGCTACAAATGCCTAGCATCGGGACACACGCGCGTCAAGTGCGACAGCTGTTTTGACTGCGGCGGACTGTGTTTCCGCTGCGGTCAACCGGGGTATAAGGCGGCAGAATGCTCTGCCGCCCCTCACTGCCCAGTGTGTGCGGCGGGCAATAAGCCCGCCAATCACCAGATGGGGCAGAGAGGCTGCAAGCCTCCCCCGCAGTTCTCGGCAGACGTCAGGGGCTAGCCAGTCGACCCAGGCTACCCCCGACGTCAATATTGCGTCGACGTCGTCGCCCATGGAGGAGGTTGTAGAGACTGTTAGGTAGTACAACACTACTATCGTCTCTCGATACTTGTCAGTGGTACGTCACTACACTTAGACTTAGCTATGGCGGACATGCGTATTGCATTGTAATATAACTTATGAAAATAAAGACATACTTACTGGCTATGGTGGACTTCATCATTTAACCTGAAAACCCAACATGGTGTCAGAAGTAGTGAACAACGCGTAACACGCTCCACATTCCAGTCGTGCGCACATTCTACTAGAGAAAAAAGGTAAAAAATGACCGACGACAAGAAGCCGCCAACGCCGACAACGACATCGAAAGTAATCAGTAGCTTCATCCAGCCATTGGACATAAATAATTCAAATATGCCATTGGCATGGAAAAACTGGCTCACACAGCTCAAAATTTATATGCGGGCTAATAATTTAGAACAGGAAAACGACGCTAGAAAAGTCGCCATACTTCTACATTTCTTGGGCACAGACGCACTCACGACATTCTATTCTTTTAACCTGGACATCGACACTGTAAGTTTTGCAGAACTGACAGAGAGGTTCAACCTACATTTCATGCCGCAAGTAAATGTAACAATGGAACGCCACAAACTATTTAACAGACGACAAGGCTTAGATGAATCCATTGATATGTACACAACAGACTTGAGAAATATCGCAAAACAATGTGAATTGAGTACACTAGAAGACAGCATCTTACGTGACATCTTTAGTTTAAACTTGAATGCTAACAATCAGTACATCAAGGAGAGAATACTGACAGACAAGCCAACATCTTTGGACAAAGCAGTAATGCTAGCTAAAAGCATGGAAGCAACAAGGATACAGGTGAAAACACTGGAAGAACCAATCATAGGCCAGGTCTCCAAATTTTCACGTAGCATAAAAGAATATCCGAAGTCGGAATCAAAACGTCCTCAGTCGCAGTCATCAAGTAAGAACAGCATTTGCTCCAGATGTGGTCAGACCCACAGGTTCAGATGCCCGGCAGAAGGCGTTAAATGTAGGAAGTGTGGAAAGTATAACCATTTTGCTCAAGTATGTAAAAGTGTTAACAACATTAACATAGATGAGGCTCATAATAGTAATGATTGTAACAATAACAACTTTTTTCTAGGCACAA